AGGTGCTTGTCTAATCTCTTCTTGAACACCTCCAAGGTAGGGGAAAGCACCACCTGCCTTGGAAGCCCATTCCATATTTTGGCAACCTTCACCATAAAGAATTTCTTCCTTATGTCCAATCTAAATCTATTCTTAAATTTGTGGCTGTTATTTCTCGTAACGCCGAGGGGTGCCCTGGTAAACAGAGTATCTCCTATTCCCTGCTGACCCCCCACAATGAGTTTGTAGACAGCCACAAGATCACCTCTCAGCCTTCTCTTGTGGAGGCTGAAGAGATTCAGGTCCCTCAGTATGTCTTTATAGGATCTTACCTGAAGGCCCTCAACCATACGAGTAGCCCTTCTTTGAATCCTCTCAAGGTTATCCACATCCCTCTTGAAATGCGGCACCCAAAACTGGATGCAGTACTCCAGCTGCGGCATCACCAATGCTGCATAGGGGGGAAGTATCACCTCCCTAGACCTGCTCGTGATGCACCTACTAATGCAAGACAGTGCAGTTAGCCTTACTTGTGTTACCTCATCACATTGACTTATGTTCGTTTTGGAGGCATTGACTATGACTCCAAGTTCCCTTTCCGCTGCCGTGGTACTCAGAATGGTACTTCCCAGTCTGTAGGTGTATTGGATATTCTTTCTCCCCAGGTGCAGCACCTTGCACTTATCCTTGTTAAATTTGCTTCCAATTCTGATCCGCCCACTTCTCCAGTCTATCCAGATCTGCCTGAATTTGCTCCCTGCCCTCCAGTGTGTTTACTATACCCCATAGTTTGTTGTTGTCTGCAAATTTGGACAGAGTGCTTTCAACACCCTCATTGAAATCATTGATGAAGATATTGAACAGTACTGGTCCAAGGACCGAGCCTTGAGGGACACCACTGCCCACATCTCTCCTGGGAGAAACTGACCCATCCACCACCACTCTCTGGGGGTGTCCCATGAGCCAGTTTTTTTCACCCACCTTACTGTGAAAAAATCCACATCACAGCTACTCAGTTTGTTTGTAAGAATTAAGTGCAGCACTGTGTTGAAAGCCTTTTTAAAGTCCAAGTAAATAACATCTATCTCCACTCTTGCATCTAAGCACTTTGTGACCTGGTCATAAAAAGAGGCCAAGTTAGTTGGGCAGGATCTGCCTGCTATAAACCCATGCTGATTTCCCCTTAACATTGTATTATCCACTGGCCCCCCACAAATGTGATCCTTTATGATTTTTTTCTAAGGTCTTGCCAAGAATAGAGGGGAAGCTAACCAGCTTATAATTACCCGGGTCCTCCTTCCTTCCCTTCTTGAAAATAGGGACCACATTGGCCCTTTTCCAGTCTTCTGGGGCCTGTCCTGAGCACCATGAGCGCTCAAACAGTTGTGCCAGTAGTTTTGCTATGACATTGGCCAATTCCTTTAGTACCCTTGGGTGAAGATCATCAGGGCCCACCAACTTAAATATATCCAAGTGGCTCTTCACTAAGTCAGCAGTAACCGTAGGTGGATTGGTATTTCTCTCATGCCAGACTAAAGACTTACTGGGAGGTGTGTTTGTATCCGTGTCCAGGAACACAGGCAGGCCCGGATGAGCTCCATCCGAGGGTACTGAAGGCACTGGCCGACATCATTGCAGAGCCACTGGCAGGAATATTTGAACGCTCGTGGCACATGGGCCAAGTCCCGGAGGACTGGAAAAGGGCCAATGTGGTCCCCGTTTTCAAGAAGGGGAGGAAGGAGGACC